ATATCGGGATTAATTCCATAGAGATTTGTACTTGTCATGTGAATGTTATACACATAGGATTCGATCTGCACTAAGAACGATCTGACATACATGACATTGATCACCACCTAGTGATCAATCAATTGTGAATGCATTTCAGTCATAGAGGAGGTTAGTCGTGGCATGGATAGCTTAGTAGTAACGTCTCTAATTGTGAAGCTGGGTGACACGAGATGGAGTCCTTCAGGGAGCATCAGTTCCGTCAAGATTACAGGCACACCTTGCTGATGAGTGCCAAGTAGCACGAAACCTTGGTCCAGGATTTCCTGTTGACTACCTCCAACCATTATCTTATCACATATAATTAATATAATTATAATTATTCCATAACTGATTTTAAGAATGGTATGTTGATTAGTCTTTATTGGAATTAATACATCTTGTATGGAATTCCTCGATACAATTATTATGTCACAATTTGTTTACATTGGTTAAATTATATCCAACTGCGGGGTTTAGTGTTGACCAATTTGGACGAAACATGTCAAATGAATTCCACTGTCAGTCACAATCCATATATGCTCCAAATGTGTAATAATGAAAATAATTAAAATAGAAGAAAACTGGTGAAATCACTCCCATGAACTCTTCGTGTATGTTAACGTCTGTTGTAAACTATTTTAATAGTCATTACTAAAATGATTCCTCTTAACTAGCCTTCTACTACTCCCTCTTTTTACTCAATTAATCATAGCTTATTTAATCGGTTCTCGTACTTATGTCCCGTCTAAATTAAATGGTCTAAAATGAAACTGTTAACCGTTTTGACTACACCTTTTCTTAATCACACTGGGAGGTGCTCACGAGTCTGAATATCTGAACATCTGCCAATATAACTTACTCCACAGGAGCAGTTGAATTGATAGATACAGAAAGACGTGGCTAGTTTAGGTAATTTATCTTTCAAACTCGGAGCCATCATTGGACGTGTAGTAGTTTACTTGCATTAAAAGTTCTTTGGATTAATCTGCGTAGCTTCAGTCTTAGCATTTTATTAGGTGCATCGCCTCTGAATTGTAAGCGCATACACAGAGGCTTTTTATTCATAGTTAAGTATTCTCTATGCTCTCCTTTATTGATTAAGTTTTTATTTATGAATTCTCCGGATATCCGTTTTCTTTATTTCATCTTCGGCTATATCGAGAGAGCATATAGTCTTGATACTATTGTAAGGTGTCTTAATCAGCTTCCATTTGTTTTGTAGGGGAACAAAACTAAGAAAGTTAGTATATTGACCCGTCCAAGTAGTTTTCTTGTCTATGTTTCTTATTAATGACCCGTTTTTTCTTCTTGTATGTAGAACATCTAGAAAGGCTATTCTACCTTTATTTTCTTTCTCACATGTCAATCTTATGAACATCAGAGCCAATCGATCAGCTTCCATTGGCATACATTTACAACTTTCATTGATTTGCAATGTAGCCTGACTATCATCTAGGGTTATTAGATATGTCTATACTTCATTGATTACTGCTTCTCATTAGAATTTTAGGAGCTTGCGAAATAACTTCCATATTCTTCCTGGTTTTTAGTGATATCCTAACTGAGATAAGGCAATAACGCAAATAACCTAGAAATCAAATGATTTAATACAACACCTTAATTAATCCATTATTTTTACAGATGAAGTTTCTACTATACATAATTCACATTTTTCTGTTTTCTTTGCACATACTACTGATTTCGATTGTGACCTTTATTTATGTACCATTTTTATAATAAAATGAAAACTAATCATCTTCATAGACAAAACAAAACAAACAAACTTTTAGTTAATCGGCTATTCCAGGGAATAAACACGTTTCTCTCTGAAATCTTGTTATCACAAAGTTTATCTGATTAAAATAGTCCATCGTGTTTTGATAAAACAAAAACATACATTACATTTTATGATTTATATCAGAAGGGGTATTTTTGTGTATATTATAGTTGAGATCATGAGTCAATTGAAGTTAGGGTACTATGGAAAACCTGGAAGCACTGGACGGCTGTTTCGTTCTAGTGTGGGACTCCTCGTTAGTACTCATCCATGATCCCGCATTGCGAGATTCGAACCCAGGACCTACCGGTCTCATGCGTGAGCATTTAACCTCTAGACCACTAAGTTTATTTATATAATAAACAATTTCATCGGTCATTCTATTCATTGTACTTCATTTTTTACTAAGACATATCTTAATGAATGCGATTATTTCTTTAAGTCATAGGTATTCATTGTACAATTGATATTTCAAAATAAGTTTCAACTAAAATAAACAAATAAATGATAATAATAATTGAAATTTTATTATTTAATTAATGACATAACAGAGTTATTAGTTATAGTTAGTTGCATAATATACCCTTGTGAGTTAGAGTAATTTAATATTGGTATTCAGGAGGACCGGACACCATCCAGACTTTCAAATGACAACCTAAATAGTACAGCTCAATCCCGTTTAACAGAAGAGCCAGAATTATTAGTACATACATGAATTTGTTTTTCTTTTCATCAAAAATCACAAATGGATCAAAATTAGGCAACTACTGAAAACCAGGAAATACTAGACGAACATTCTGTTTTAGTATAGGATTCTTTTACAGTGCGCATTCACTACCCCATAACTGGGTTTCAAATCTAGTTCCTTTGATCTAGTGCTCAAATGTTTGATCTTAATGAAATTCAACAATCTCCGTAACCCTATAATGTCATATATCATGTGTTTACTAGTGACTAGCTTGAAGACGCATTTTCTGGAGTTCAGAAGAAAAGTCGTGACTAGTGGAGTTAAACCGCATAGATTATGAGGAAGTTATCAATGAAGACAATGGAGTAATTGAAATCAGAGTTGTAAACCATTAAATCCTGGCTCTCAATGTTCTATAGATTAGAAGTTTGAGTGCTAGGTTGAATCTCCTCAGCTCTATTTCCTGATTAGGTGGGTTGTGAATATTCACTACTGAGGATTTGTATAATGAAACGAAATTTGTCCAATCTCTACACCCCTCATACTGATGGTTTATTCTATTTTTGGTGTTCTCAGGTTGGTGCTGAAAAAGAGTAACAAGTAGTGTGTAACTTTTTTAATTATTGAATCAAGTCAATAATTTCACTGATAATCAATGATAAATATCTACCTACAGGATGAAAATGAATATTTTGAAGTTTCTACTTCTGTTAACATTTCATGCAAGTAATCTCTCCAGAATAATAAAATGACACATCTGAAGGTTGATTATACAACTGACTTTAACACTTTCAATCAGAACAAGTTTATGATACATGATATTTTTTTGTTGTTGAATAAAACATCAAAACTATTTCGGGGAAAGGCAAAGGAGAGAAAGAAAGAACCAGTATTTCTGATTTTCAAAGATGAACTACATTATTATTTCATTGAACAAATTAACCGGTATAGTTCATTACATTGGTTGAAAACGTAACAGTTCAGTCGGGTGTACTATGATTTTTAGATCTATCTGTTTATCAATGCTTTTATGTCACAGTCCTGGAGTAAACATAAGATACAGGTACATCCAGTTAACAAGTCCCAAATCGAACGAAACGCGCGTTCTGAATACTAGTGCTAGTTATCATCCATATATGCTTAAAATGCTTGTGACTGAATTGCGATATTAAGACAATCCGCATAGGATGCACAGATGCCAGAAAAAGACTGACCACTTCTAGTTCTAAACATCAATGGAAAGATCTGAACAACCAATATATATGTATGAACAGTGTAAATTATGCTGAATTTGGCTTGAAGAGCCAACGGCATTGGATGGCTGCTGCGCTACATCACAAATTGGTTGTGTTTACCCCAATATCTGAAGGTTGTCAATTGGATCTATGGTGAAGTTGTGTATTCCCACTATTGAGCATATCCCTATTACGACGAAAGAGCTATCTAATGCTTTCTGGTTTTGTATGGCAAATTTAACACAGATGCAACTCATAAATTATTAAATTATCGAATTCAATCATTTGAAGTTAAAGAATATCGTTGAATACTTTTTTCGAATGGTCTATTGAAATAACACCATGATGAACGCTAAACAAATAGTTCGTATAACTAGAAAAAGAATATTCATGTATTTGAAAAATTAACTAGTAATCATGAACTATTAGTTAGTACATTATTTTGACGGTAGTTTACAACGCGCAGAGGTATAAGCTATACAACTAGTAAAAACAAGGAAATGTTGAAAAATCATTTCATTCTAACTTGGGATTCTTAGAAGTATACACTTACAACTATTTCAAGGATCTAAAGCAGGACCTTTGTGTTTTACCGAAAACATTTAGCATTGGACCTATTGAGTTACTATATACCAGTTTATACTACCAACTTCAATGAAATGGTAATAATTTTTAGTTATATGAGGCGATGGAGTAGAAACTTAAAATTTATGCAGTCACTTGAGTATTTCGTTCTATAATATATATATCAACAAATGACCTTAGATTTCAATTTATAACATTAGTACTGTTAATCTAATGATATTTAAACTGAGTACATGATGATAGTAACATACTAAGACGAAACGGTCGTCCAGTGTTTCCAGGCTTTCAATGGTAGTCTAACGTCAATCTCTTCATGATCTCAATCTAAATGAACATAAGTTCAGGTTTCGTTCAAAGTCATGGTAATCTTCTTAACTTTTTAAAAGCAGAAACAAGAATACGTGAATATCTAAAGTGCGTTGACTGAAATTACTTTCCAACAGTTTCCTTTTAAGCAGGTTAACAAATACATTAGTAGCTCAGAAAGTCATTACTTTTCAATGAAGAGTTCAAAGTGACGTTTGTCTAGATGAATTAGACAATTTCGAAAGTCATAGGTTTGCTTGTTCACTCTTTTAAAATATTTATTCAATACTTTCCTAGTTCCAGTGATTTATAAGCAAGTGTCATTCAGTCTTTAGGATTCATGGTATTAATAATAATAATACTCGTCTTTTTATGTTCTTTATTACAGTACTTTATCAATTCGCCTTGGATTATCGAATAGTTTGGACAGCTGGACAAAATTGTTATTTTCCAAGTTTTGTACATCATTCGCATGAATCAATTTGGATGACAGATTATGGTTTAAATAATTTACACCAACAATCTCAAAATAGTAATAATGACAATAACAATAATAATATTAAGAAAACATCATTATTCTATTCACTTCAGTTACCGGAAGAATTGTACAATTATAAATTTAATTTTTTAAATTTACAATATGGTTGGTTACAAATGTTATTTACAAGAGATTCACATCATGCATGGTTATTCTTATCATGTCATCATATTCTTTATACAAAACATCAGATTTTTTTTACATCATTAAAAGATTACTTAACGAGTATTTGCAGTGTAGATGACCAAACTACTTACAAAAGTAATAGTAGTAATAATACACATTGGTTTAGTGCTACAAACAGTAGAAGTATGGATTATACAAAATTAATGTATAATAATAATAATAATGAGAATAGCAATCCTACAAGCAGTTTACAAGCATCATTAGGTTATGTGAAACTGTCATGTTCTTGGCAATCCGGTAAAAATATTTATTTAGTACAATATACACATCCTAAAGGAAAGTGAGTACAGTGTTTTATTCATTTTAAAATATTTTCATATTTATTTATTGGTGAACTTTTTATCCCCCTTATGTGACAACAACTAAATAGTGACTTTAATTGGCGTCTCTCATCAAATAGCTTCTGTCAAGTAACCATGTTAATAAAGCGTATAAAAATAAAAGCCGAATACAGAAGCTCTTCAGATTTGTATCTTATAGACTTTCATACACAAGAAAAAATACGGTAAAAATCAATAGGTGAAACTTGGAATTCAGCTAACAGCAACTCCCTGAAACAAGTTAATATAAAAGAAGACCGACAGTAATATAGATGAGTTGAGATAGACATACAATATAACCAATAACGTTACAAATATACATGCAAATTTAGATCAAGTCGCACAACAATTTGTATCCGTTTGTCATATAACTTCACATCACAACTGTAGATTTCATTGCATTAATGATTCATGTACGTATGAATCAGTACAAAATTCGACACAATTGGATCCCATCACTTAGATCAAGCGTTCGCGAGCGACATCAAATGTCCTGGGTTCGAATCCCTGCGTGTGTGTGGGGGTGGTCATGAATTCGAATTGCTGAAGAGTCCTATGAAAAGATGAAAAGACCGTCCAATATTTCCAGATTTCAAGGGTCTGTCGAACTTATATCGGTTAGTGATCTCATCAGATAAGAAATTATTCAGTTTGGATATTTAAATGCAAATAGAAAACTAGTCAATCATGGTGACAGATCACAAATCAAGACGAATGATACAACTTTATTTTTACCCTTACCTAACAGTAACTTAACTTTAGATTGATTATTTAAATACATTTTGTTCAACTTTATACACCAATACATATTCCATAAGAGTTAATAATTAACATTTCATGAATACATTCGAAAGAATATTCTTACTTCTACAAAATTAAAAGCGGTCGGTAACAAGAAAAGTTCATAAACTATTTCATTTTATCAGTTTAAAATAGGTTGATGTATAAGTTAGACTTGTAAAAACTAAATCAGATTAGATGTGTTTTGTGTCGTCATAACATCAACTTATTAATCAGTTTAGTTATCATTGATCTTTACTGTAAGATAAACAGACCAAATGATGTGTATAATACAACTTATATTGTTAATTAAAATCATGAGTCAATTGAAGCCAGACCACCCTGGAAACCTGGAAGCACCGGACGGCCGTTTCGTCCTACTGTGGGACTCCTCAGCAGTGCGCATCCACGACCGCGACGCGCGGGATTAGAACCCAGGACCTATCAGTCTCGCGCCAGACGCTTAACCAACTAGACAACTCAACCGGCATCCAACAGTGTTAATGTCTAACTTCAACTAATCCACAAAATTGAGCAATACATCCACCATTGTCTTTAGTGAGTAGCTATCTCATAACTGACCCGGTTGAACTCCACTGATCACTACTTCTCACTAGAACTCCAGCATATACCTCTTGAAGCAAGTTACTAGTGAGCATATGTTGATTAGTATCACAAGGGGTTTTGTGGAGATTGTAGTAGTTGCACCAGTTGAGCTCATGAGTCAATTGAGGTTAGATCACCATGGAAAACCTGGAAGCACTGGTTCGAATCCCACGAGGCGGGGTCGTGGATGCGCACTGCTGAGGAGTCCCACAATAGGACGAAACGGTCGTCCAGTGCTTTCACGTTTTCTATGGTGGTCTAACTTCAATTGACTCATGATCTCAACTGTTGAAATTACTACAATCTCCACAAAACCCCTTCAAATATATAATTCTCATAAATAATCGCTGGAATTCCAATTCTTTCCATCAATATTGTCAACTACTTCATATTATACTATAATTGAATGTTACACTTTAGTAAGAATATGGCTGTAAACATCTGAAGAGAAGATATAAAATAAAAGGAATTTATATTATTATGTCCTGACTATTATTTTATCTTTATTCTAATTCATAATTAGAGTCATTTGTATGGAATAAAATCTATCAGTAAAGAATATGAAGAATAAGTAGTCTCATTTATATTACTCATTACTCGAGAAAAAGATGTTAGATGACTATTGTTATGATTTTATGTCCGGCTTTTCATCACGTGATTTTCCACCAGTCAAAATACGACTCAAACAATCTTCGCACTGTGCCAAATCAATGACGTTCGACCGGTATGAGCAGTCTAGCGTCCTTATTTGTCCTATGTCCCCCTAGCCCGTCCACTTGAGTCCAGAACACAAGCACCAGCTTCTGCAATATGAGTCATTTATTTCAAACATACTCGGTTTATATATCAAACAGACAGACCGCAACGCACCATAAAATGGGAAATAACATTTGTACGCAATAAAGCCAAAAAGTGGCTGTGAATGTGGGAGGCAGGAGTCAATAAACTGAACATAGCTTAAGAACAGTAAATCGTACAATAATAAATTATAGGTCAAAATAAAGCTTATAATATGAGGAATATAAATATACATAATCTAATTATTGAACAGTAATACCATAAGAATATATAGATAATATTAGTCAATTAATGTATCAGAAGTTACTCGTGATTTAATCTTCGCTCGGATATAACAACTATGATAGTTGAAGAAGTTATATTGTAATTTGGTATGTATGTACGTTTGTTCTGCAGTTGTGAGAAATTGTATTCGTCTATTATACTAGATAATGATTTTAACTCAAACACTATGTTATCTTCGGAAATAGGTTACCTCAGATTTCATTTTAACAATTTTGATCCAATTTTTTAAAATGTTTTTATATTAAATGAAACCTTATAATTGTAATAAAGCAAGAAATGATACTTTTTAAATAAAGATGGCTAGCGGCTAGCAGTAGAATCCAAGATGTGCGTTTCGTTCTATTTGAGACTCGTCAGCTAGATATATCTCCATCTCAGAGATGATTTTAACTCTAGGACTCGAACCCACTAATGTTTGCTTCAATCGCCATCGCGTTTCCACTTAGCAAGTGAATCTTGATAGCCACCCGCTTGTGAAATCGGGTGAAGTTTAAACTCACTTGGTATTGTTTTACTTGTATCTCCCCATTGTTATTTAGGACTGCAATTGATCAGTCTCTTGTTGGTGTATCCATCTTTGTTTGAAAATGCTTGTGACTTAAGGCTATATCGAGGCGATTTGCACAGGGTGCACATATGCCAACACGAGACTGATCAATTGCAGTCTGAAAACTCAATGGGAAGATACAAACCAAACAATACCATATAAATTTAGTTCTGGTTGCTTCAAATGTCATTGCATTATTTATTTAGCTATCGAATTCAGATAACCACTATTTTGTGCAACGGGTACGAGATTTAACTAAATTTGAAATAGTTTAGATTATCTGATTGATGAAATTATGACTGAAAATTGACTAGTCTTGGTTGGCATATAAGCATACTGTGAGGATTACCTCAATATAGCCATTATGACAAAAGTTGACACAGAACAGATGGATTGTAGCTAGCAATATTATCAAGGAATGGGAGTACCATCTTATTTGTTGCTCATCAGCTGGATGTATTCTATTCTATATCAATTTACATCATAATGTCTATATGGAAGCATTCCACACAAGATACTCATGTATCAACCAAAATCGTTCAGATTTCAATCATATATGAATAGCAGGATCATTCAAATCATTTCGAATTGAATTCAATAATGTACTTTATTCTGATTATTAGTTTTAAAACATATTGAAATGATTAGCACGTAATATACACTTCATCGGTCAAGTAAAATTGTGAAAATCATTAGAATGGTTATAATTAATGTAAGATTAGGGGAGTAAGAACACAATTTATAACTTAATTATATTACTTATCTCATTAAGTATTACGTATAACATACAATGATCCAATAAAGTTGAGGATAATAAAATCAAAATGAATACTTAACATATGGTTCAATCGTGTAGATTATTAAATGACTTAACTTTACACTATAAAATGATACAAATAAAAAATAGGATATTTATCCAAAGCATATTACGTTACTATAGAAAAAGATATTGAACCTATTTCTTTCAACTGAACAGTTCGAGTTTATTTTAATGGCTCGTATGGTAATCTCTTATGTAATTCCAAATATTCAGAGCTTGACTGTTTTTCACGAAAAAAAATATTTTAATATGATAGACCATCATCATCATCATCATTAATGATACATTAATGTTGAATTCATGTACAATTGATTAATCATTGAATTGTGACTATTATCATATTTTGTTATATCCCGATGAGAATAATGAATGGTAACTGTTGGGATCTATTTCTAGACTATTATTATACGTATATGTTTTATCGTATAATTGTTAAGTAACTAAACTATTCATATTTGTGTCCCTCTTATTATGAGCTTTGTTTTGACATATGATCTATTATTATACAACTTACCATTCTTGAGTTATATCCACGTTCATAGCCACATTTGGTTAAATCTTGTACAAATATTGTTTCTTATTTTATGGCACGATGTGGTCTCTCTAATTGGTATATAAACCCAGCATGTTTGAAATAAATGATTCATATCGCAGAGGCTGAGATCGGTGTTCTGGACTTAACAAGCAGGGATAAGCAGAAAGTAAGACCCATAATGACTCTAGATTGCTCGTACTTGTTTTATGCATCATTGGTCCGGTCGATAATTCACTGTTCTTGAATTGAAGGTATCACTACGTTATACATTGTTAGGGGCGCAAACCCACGGTAGTGAACAAGAACACGGGTGGGGACGATCGAATGTATTTAGCTCAACCTTACTGGACTTGTTAATAAAATTTAACATTCATAAAGTAAATGCTTAATTTGCAAAATGTTCACCAATTGTCTCAAAATGACCCAGACTTCATTGTTCTTGCATTTTCATACAAATTGCATTCTGTTTCCATTCTTTACTGTTCGATCCTCTTGTCTCTCTGCTGCCAGATATTCTGTTCACGACTAATATCATCTACTACTTATGTCAATATAAGTAGCACAAACCACAACACAAGTTATAACATAT